CTGTGTCTGTATCTATCTCTGTATCTGTCTACAGCTGTATCGATCTCTGTATCTGCATCTGTATTGCATCTATCTCTGTATGTGCATCTGTATCTATGTGAGTATCTATGTCTGCATCTGTATCTGTATCTGCATCTGCATCATCTGTATTTGCATTTATCTATGTATCTATATCTATCTGTATCTGCATCCGTATTTGTGTCTATTTCTATATCCATGTCTATCACTGTATTTGCAACTGTATCCCAGCTTCTCTTCCTAAGCACCCAGCAGCAGAATCATCTGCTTGTCCTTGTCCCTGTCTCCCTGAAACTTGGCCACCCTTGGCTCTCATAGGGATGATGTCCTTGTTGCTGATTCTGAGAGTGGGTCTCTTCTTCTGTCCCTGCCTCCATTTCCTCAAGGGTTAACTGGGCAGAATCACAGGGACTGGTCCCTGGGTCATCAAATGGCAACAGGGCATCAACAACAAAGCAACGTTGGATGAATAATGCTGAGTCCATGCTGAAGAATTCATCAGGCTTTCAGGTGTCTCCTCCGTGTGCTGGGAAAATATCTGGCTCCGGGAGCACTGATGCTTTGAAGGCTTCTATTTTTAGGCAGCCCAGTGCCTGTGAGGTCTAAAACCATCAGCGCTGAGCTCCTGGCCATCTGAGACCCCAAGGGTCCTAGGCAGTGACTTCTGCATGGGAGATCCAGACACAGCTGTACCTGGGAGTTAGGGTCCTTTGGTCCAAATGAATGAGGAGAATTCAGATGGAGGAGAGAGCGTATTTTGAATGACCTCATCCTGCTACCAACCTTTAGCCTCCAAAGAGAAGCTGACGTCTGCTCATATTTGCAATCATTTTTCCTCTTTCTTGCAAAACAGCCCCTTCTTCTGGGAGAGCATTTGGCAGGCAGCCTGCTGTGGGCTTGCCAAGGCAGGTTTCATCACTGAGAGCGTTTCTCAGTGCCTGGCGAGGGGGCAGTGAGGGAGTGGTCCCTGGTGAGTGCCTCCCTGGGGGTGATCCCAGTGGACCCTGGGTGGCTCTTGAGGTGCCTCCTCCAGTCCTGGTGCTGGGAGAGGAGGCTATGTCAGAGACAAGGACACCTGGTGCAGCTCTGCAAATACCCTGTAGAAGCAGCAAAGAGCTGGCCCTCGTCCAGTCATGAAAAGGGCTCTCAGGGAGATCACTACCAGGCTTGTCTCTATAGATAAATGAAAACCGTGGTCATGCCCACTGAGCAGATATGCTCTGGCACGGAATGGGGAGGGAGGCAGGGCAGGGATGGGAACAGGAAAGGCCCCAGGGCCAGCACCGGGGTGGCACGGCAGAGCTCTGGTGCTCCTGAGACTGCAGAGGTCCGGGTCCTCTGTCCAGGAGGGGTGAGGTAGCTGTGTGTGCTGAATGGTGGCATTGAACAGGAGTCGGGCAGCTTTGCAAGGTCGTAACAACAGTTGCAAGTGGCTGCTGACAGGAATTACAGTGGAATTCACACTCTGAGTAATAGTTCCAATTTTGTAAGTGCATTTCTCCTGCAGGCTGGCGCTCTCTGCATGCCCTATAAATAGTGAGTTGTTAAACATGTCACTCTGCTCTGTTTCACAGGTCCCTGCTGCTGACATGGGCCTGCGGTGAAGAAGGGTCAGCTACACACCTTCCTGGAGCTGCCCAGTATCAGAATTCACTCTCCCATCTTCTCTGTCACTGTCACCACAGCGATGACATCATCACAGTCACCTTTCTTTTTATGGGAGGCGCAGTCCTTCCCATTCCAGGCAAGAGACACTTCCCCAGGACTCTTCCTTACTGCACCCCAAGACGGGCACCCAGCACCCACTTCAGCCTGCACATTGAAGGTCACGTGTTCTCACAGACAATGATCAATTAACCCAGGGGCTTGCAGACCTCAGCACATATTCACTGAATGTTGACTAGTTAAGATGGGGGCTGATTAACAAGGGTGCATTATTCTCACATAGTTGCAATTGTATATTTCATCTTTATTTAGAATCTCTTTGGGAAAACAATCCACCATGGCCACATGTAGAATGTCGAAAGCTTTGGGTCATTTTTTTTTTTTGAGATGGAGTCTTGCAGTGTCGCCTGGCTGGAGTGCAGTGGTGCAATCTCGGCTCACCGCAACCTCCATCTCCTGGGTTCAAGCAATTCTTCCGCCTCAGCCTCCTGAGTAGCTGGGATCACAGGCACTCGCCACCATACCTGGCTAATATTTTTGTATTTTTAGTAGAGACAGGGTTTCACCATGTTGGCCAGGATGGTCCCGATCTCTTGACCTTGTTACCCACCCGCCTTGGCCTCCCAAAGTGCTGGGATTACAGGCGTGAGCCACCGTGCCCGGCCTGGGTTATATTTTTATTTAGCAAAAAGAATAGAGAACATTCTTATCCAGTCACCTGTCATAAGAGCGAGAACACATGCCCCACCCTGCCGCGGCTCCATCTCAGCAGCATTGATTTTATTGCTCATACTTTATAAATGAGAATGCTATTCTTGAAGAATGCAAACATTTGCTTTGTTGTGCTGTTGTCTCAGCCCTGCATAAACCTCTCACTCTTGATATATGCCCATCGATTATTATTCTTGTCATTATTTCACAACAGGAGGCATTTTAATGATGATTTACAGGGTTACATATTGTTGGTCCATAAACTTCTGTTTGCAATTACAAAAAAGTTAAATGCAAACTTCAACTTGAAAATGACTCAAGGTTTAGGGTGATGATGCAATGCACAGGGTGCTTGCTGCCTGCCCTTCTAGAGGCCATCAGAGACCCGCATGCTTCCTGGCAGATGGGGACTTTGCTCTGCTCCCCGGGGCTGACCCAGACTTTGGAGGGCTTTGCCTTATCTGTTGTCTGGACAGTCCTCAGGGCTCGGGGCTCACAGGTGGTCCTTCCTGACCAAGTTGCCTGGGGCAGCTCGCTGGGGCCTCTGGTGGCTGCACCCTGCGAGGCCAGCCCTGGTGAGCCATGGGGGCATGGTTTTCTCCAATTTGGCTAACTGGAGCTCTTCATGTTATGGCCTTCCATCCTCTGATGGCTCTGCAGAAGTCCTCACACTCAGGAGACACAAGAAAATCCACGGCGAAATGAGCTACAGCCCCAGACCAGCCTGCTTGAATTCCAGCTCAGATACATCCATTTCTATATATAAAATGCGATTCCTAGCAAGAACCTCTCAGGGTCCCTCCAACACGTGCAGGAGACCTCTCAGGAAACCCCTTGGTCAGGGCGGCCCAGCAGACAGGAGGTGCTCGTGGGCTGCGCTCCCGACGTGTGGTAGCTGCTGGTAGATTGTCCTCCGTCCCCCTCGGAATCTTGGACCTCCCTGCTCCACCCACAGAGGCCTGTCCCTGGGGGGCTTGCTGACCTCTGGGCTGGGGTGCCGGGCCCACCTTCCGAGTGCCACCTCCCTCACGCCCAGAGTCACTTCCTTTTCTGATGCTTTTGCTCCTTCCAATACCTTCATCACTGACTTGACTCTTGTACCCTGGGGCTTTGTGGGGAGAGGATGCAATTTCCCAAAGCCTTTCAGAGTAAACAACTCAAAATAGATCAAGGTCCATCCTTCACATTTTATCTGTATCCAGAACTGCCATGGTCCCTGGACCAAGGTCCATCCTTCGCTTTTTATCTGTATCCAGAACTCCTTCAGCTTGGGGGGGACCTGCTCTGCACAAACTCCTGGCAGCACCACGCTGAGAGTGCAGCTGGCAGCCCTGTCTGGTCTGAGCTGCAGTTCTGCACCCCAAGCCAGTGTACACGAGTCACTGGTGCCTCCTCTGCTCTCTGCACAGCTGCACCCTTGGGTGTCCAGAGCTGCCTGTCATCCTGGGACAGGATCAGGCCCTGTTCACCAGCCCCTGGGAAAACCATGCACACAGGTCATCCCAGGAACTTGCAGACTTCATAAAGACACAGCGGAGGGGGCTCCTGGGCTCACTAGCTGCACCTGTGCTCTCCCTCCATTGGGGTCTCCACAGGGCAGCCCTGACTGCATGCTCGACCCCAGGCACCCACCAAGGATTTGTGGGGAAACGAGTGCAGCTCCTTTCTAAGAGCAATTCTGTGCTGCGAGTTTCCTGACACCCCCCGCGTCTGCTGTGTGCTCAGTGGCCACTCTGTCTCCTCACAGAACAGGTGGACATCCTAGTCCAGGCCCATGCCTCCCTCATGCTTGTGGCTGTGTTTCCTTGTGTGTGTGGCAGAAGGGTGCATTTCACGCAGACAGGCACGAATGTGAACCTACAAACTGATGCATTTACAAGTGTCTGCTTTCTTCAGAAGCTGTGTCCTGTGGGATCTGATCTCAGGAATGGTGGTCTCTCGGTTGTGTAGCTTCAAGTCCCTTCCCTGCGTCTTCCTTCCTTCTTCCTTCCCGACCCCGGGGCAGCCGCCTGCCCTAGACAAGCATCATTCTCTGGTGCAGCCTTCCCTCACCACGCTGCCATTCTCTCCCCTTTCTGTTCTCTTCAGTTCCAGCTTCCATGCCCCCTCTTCAGGAAGGCCTTCCGAACGACCTCTCATTATGCTACCGTTTACAAGGATAGAGACTAAGACGCTGCCACAGAAACCTTCACGTGAGGCTGCTGAAGTAAAAGCAGAAGTTATCTCTCTTAACATCATGCTCCAGAGACTCTGTTCCTGAGGACACGCAGGGCCCAGGATCTCCAACGTGTGGCCTCTGTTCTGTGTCCAACGCTCATTCATACCAATTTCCTGGCCATAAGGGAGGGGGCAAGAGAAGAGGGGATAAAAAAACAGAACAAAATAAGACAAAACCAGCAATGGCCTATTAAGTTAGTGATACAGAGGCTGCCATGTTGATTCTTCTCATGGCCCATTGGCGCAGTTTGCCAAACCTAGCTACCCGGGAGGCTGGGAATGCAGTCTCTGGTTAGGCAGCCATGTCCTGAGCTAAGACTGTAGGCCATGCAGGAGAGCCTGTCATTAAAAGGAAAGGGAGGTGGATATTGCGGACCATACAGCCCCTGCTACATGACCGTGAGTGCTTCCTGCTCGATATACTATTGGAAAGAGGGGAGAGCACGAGATCATGTCCCCTGGTTTCGGGCTGCACCGTTACGCTTTCTTCTCTCTCCAAAGACAAACTGGCATCGCTGTGCCTTCTCCCGGACAGGCTAACCAGGTGGCGGGCCTTGCCAGGTCTCCCTCTCCTGGGGTGGGCGGGAGCTCCTCCCCTTGGGTGGCCCTGTCTGTGGTACGGCTCCCTGGTTGCCCACGGCCCAGAGGAGGTTGGAGCCCGTTGCAGATGCTTGGAAGCGGCTGACTGTGCTAGATCCCAGCAAGGGTCCTGAGCTGGGCACCAGCCAGGCCTTGGCCGCCTTCTGCTCTAGAGTCCTTCCCATGAGGCCCTCCTCATCACTGTCCCCTTCCCCATTCTCCCTCTGGGACCTGTCATGGCCCTGTGACCAAATGTCCCTACAGCCCTGGTGGGACCTGGTCACCTGTTCAGCTCCCTGGGCTGTCTGCCTCAGGTCATCACCATTCTAAGAATGTCAGCACGTTTCAATAAACAGAAACTCTCACGTCCCCTGGGGAGGATGCTACGCCTGCCTTAGGTCCAGCCTCACTGAGAGCAGAGCCTAAGATGAGGGTTTGGAGAACATATTCATGGGGGAGGTGACCCCAGAAATCAGGAGCAAGGGTGGAGGAGCATGAGATTTGGGAGGGAAAGTCGGCGAAGTCACCAGGGTTCCTTCTGAGGGCAGTTGGGCCTCTGCTTGGAGAAATCAGGAGTGATTCTCAGAACTGCCCCCAGGAGGAAGGGAGGCAGAGGCACTGACCCACTGCTACCCTCCTCTTTAGGTAGAGAGGAGGCCCTGGGTGTTCATTTACTCTCATTTTCGAATGTGGCTTGCTTCAGGCAAAAGAGCAGAGAGGACCTGGAGAAGGCTGAGCCGCCTGGTGCTGTCCAGCACAGTCTCATGGAATTGGAGGTGCCCAGCGTGACTTATCTTAGTAAATAAACAGAATGTGATTCTTCTAGTGAGAGAAGTTGGTGTTTCGAAGTTGCCAACCCGTTTGCTAGTCCCCTGCAGCATCAGATCCTGCTGAGAGCCCAGTGATGGGAAATGCAGGAGCGCCCGCAGTGGGGCAGGTCACAGCGGGTGGCAGGAGGTGAGATGGTTCCGAAGATGTCTGCAGGACCTGTCATGGATGGAAGCCGGTCCAGGTGGCAGAGTGCGGGAAGCATAGCCTCCGATGGAGGGAAGACTGGGTGTGGCTGCTCCAGGTGGGGCAGATCTGAGCCGCAGGTGTGGCTGCAGGTGGGCGGGAGCGACGGGTGGAAACAGAGGAGTTGCCAGTCTGTCTTGGGGATGTTCATGTCTCTTCCCCCAGCCTGTGGGTCTGCCTCCCATCCCCAACCCACTGTCAGCCCCGTGTAGAATGCAGGTGGCAAGTTTGCAGGGACAGGATTTTTACCACAGACACGGATGGACTTCCTGTGGAACATCAGGATGCCTTTCCCAGCGTGGCATTTTGGAGCCCCAGTTTAACGACGAGCTCGTTGTGGGCCAGTCACTAAGTGCTGCACTTGCACACAGAGTACCTGGTGAACCAACCATCTGTTCAGAGGACAAACAGCAGGAAAACAGGTCTGTGTCCAGGTAAAACCCCCTTTGACTTCCTAGAAGTCCACCTAGTTCTGTCTTAAGTATCAAATGACGTAGAATCATAGAATCTTTAATACATGCAGAAGACCTACCAGCAGCACAAAAGAGGAAGATCGGATAAATAAGGAGAACTACCCCAGGTAGAAAAGCAACCATTCTGCGATCATGAATTAACTGCAAAATGAAACATTTTGAAGTATTCTTCAAGCAGGGACTATATTTAAAAACAAGAACAGAAAGTCTGAAACCCTGAGGAAGAATCTTCAGAAATGAAAACAAAAGGATTGTAAAAGAAATGAAAGAGGAGTTGGGAGGTAAGGTGAGGAAATTTCCAGAACACAGAGCAAAATAGGAAACACAAGAAAAATGACAAAAAAAGATCAATTCAGGATATAAAGAAATCAGACTAAAATATTTATTGAGAGAACAGAGAAAAAAATGGACAAGAAAATCATCAAAGAAGTAATATATGAAAATTTCAGGACCTGAAAAGAGACACAAATTTTCAAAATAACAGGGACTCAATGAGCGTCCAGTGCGATAAATGAAAAATGACCTGCATATCTTGATGAAATTTTAGAAAACTAAAGATAAAGCAAAACACAAAAGAGCTTGCAAGGAGGGAGAATCAGGCCACCCACAAAGGGGTGAAATTCGGACTGGAGCCAGTGCTTTCAGAAGCAGCCACATCAAGGTCATTATGATGCGGCACAAGGGCAAGGCGAATGTATTTTGGTTCTGATAGACCTTTGCTGAAAATGCTACCTGAGGATACATTCCAGAAAGCCAATAAATACAAGGAAAGACAAATAAGAAACAGAGGCACTACCCTGGGAGTTCAGTGAAAATGACTTCCAGAATGATGTCATGCTGCACCCTCAGAGAGCAACTGAGCCCAGTCAGCGCAAGATGTCAGTGGGTGCTAAGAGGACCCCGTAAAACAAAACTGGACTATGTCATAGATTGAAAAAGGAGCTGGGAGATAGTAGTGACACGTGGAAGCAGAAAGGCTTCCTCTCTAACATAGGAAGTAACAGATTATCTGTCTGAAAGTGGCTTAATCCATGAGTGCATTTATTAGAGACGGGTCATCTCTGAGTTGGCTCAGAAGTTCAAAGGCGTCATCAAGGACCTGGCTGCCTCCACTGTGCTGTTCTGCCACTCCTAGCACGAGGACCTTTTGTTCTCCAGCTTGTCACCTCGTGAAGAGGAGGTGGCTCTCCTATTTCCAGGCACAGTGTGCCCACACTGCATTCAAAGGCCAGAAAGGAGCAATGAGGATGAGTGAAGCTCCTTCCTCTTGTTGTGAAGGAAAGACTTCCAGAACTTTCTGGCAGACCTTTTCTTATGTCTGTTTGGCTGTAGGTGGGTCCTATGTGCACCTCTGGCTGCAAGCTGGGATGGGAACGTGTGTGTCTGACAAAATGAAGCAGAATGTTATGAATGGTTCAACTTAAAATAAATGGGTGACAAGGTCCCACCCCAGGACTTCTTGTTCAGCTGGCATGGAGTGGCCCTTGGGCGTGTGTGGTTGTAGAAAGTTTCCTGGGTGATGCCAATTGCCAGATTTGAGACCCGCCAACTGGATTATGTGTGACTTCTGAGGCTGGCATATTGTCACCTGAATGATTCAAGTTCTGTTTGGTGAGGAGGAAGAGGGAAGGCATACCAGCTGGGCAGGACGAATAATAATGTTTAGGAAAAGCCCAAAACCAGTGCACAAAAGCCACGCTCCAGGCAGGAAGAAGATCCCGAGAAACCGGTGGAACACGAGAAGAGGAAATCCCTTCAACCGCTATGCTGGGGACCGTCTCCCTGAGTGTCAGATCTTAACATTGGACCTACGGAGAATAAAATTTTACTGTGCTACCTGGCCCTGGAAGGAACAGTTTTATACAGTCGTAATCACATAAATGCATTCATTCTTTAAAAAAATTAGTTTTCTTTCAGACTCAACCCAGGAATAAAGCCCAGAAGACTTGATTATGGCTTCAAGACAGAATGCCGATATTACTATTCCTGACCATGAAAAGGCGACAATGATGGAAGTGGGGTAGGAGAAGGAGAGCCAGGAGGGAGAGGAAAACTGCTTCACTGCCACCCTGACGTACCCGGTGGGAAGCCAAGAGGTACCTTCAATGCCAGTGGAAGAAATGAAAAATAACATCTACATTTGCAAAATGAAAAATAGCATCTACATTTGCCAAAGGTAAGCAAAAGGAAAAACAAAAAAAAAATCATATCACAGCTGTCACCTATTAAGGGGTAGCAGTAGGTGTGTAAGTGAGGAGATCTTCACTTTCCCAACCTGCAGGGAACAGCCAGTTTCTAGAGCAGAGACATAGGGCTTGTATCCAGCAGGACAGACAAGGTTCTGCGGTGTAACAAACAATCCCAAAAGTCTTAGTTACAGAACAAGACTTACTTAGCAACACAGTGAAGCTTATTTCTAGCTCCTGTTAAGGGTGGGACAGTGACCCCAGACCTGGGGGTGGTGGTGGGTGGTGGTGCCAGCCCTGGCAGTGGTTTCTGGTTTCAAGGGAGCCACAGGAAGCAGCTTTGGCTGCATTTAGAACCCGGGCTGCTCAAGTATGAGGTCTGGGGCCTTGGCAGAAACCCAGGACCGGAGGGTATGACTTGGTCTCCCTTCTTCTACAGGACACCTTGGATTCTGCAGCATGTTGGCCGGCCATACCCCGGCCACTGACTGAGGTGGCTCTGGAAACTCTGGCTGGAGGGACAAATACGGCCTAAGAACGGTTTTTACCTTTTTAAGTGGTTGAAAAAGTCAAAGAGAAATAATGTTTCATGACATGTAAAACTAAGTGGGATTCAGATGTCAGCGTCCACAAATAAAAGTTTGACTGGAGCACAGCGATGTTCATCCCTTTCCACATTTCCTGTGTCAAAGGTGAATGGTCACTACAAGAACCACGAGGCCCAGAAAGCCTAAAATATTCCCGTCTGTCCCTTTACAGAAAACGTTTGGCCATCCTTGCCTGAGATGCATTTTAGAGGTTAGAATCCGCTCTGTGGTTCCATTCACACCTGGATTCACTCATTCATTCATTCATGCACTTAGCAACGTTTAATTAGGACTTGCCTGGCTAGGGAATACGCCCCCTAGGGCTGCTGAGGATCTGAAGATCAGAAAGGTGTGTTTCTCATCCTCAAGGATGGTAAGTACAAATCACGTTCAAGCCCCACTCTTCTGACCGGTCAGGGTCTCTTGTTACGTTTTCCCCATGACAAGAGGGTCCTGTGGGTGCCTGTTTCCATCTGCAGAGTAAATCCAGTTTGATATCAGGCCTTTCTCATTTTTCAAAGATGGGCGTTAGCCCTGGGGTGAAGTGGGGCAGAGGTTCCTCTGAAGGTCTCAGGAACCCAGAGTTTGCTGCGTGGGGTGTCCCTCGAGGGTCCCGGTCGGCCTGTCACCTCCATAGGGAGCTCCTGAACTCATGAAATAAGGCCAGTAAAGTCGACCTGAGGGCCCCAGGCTCTCTTCACTGCACAGGCATGGCCTGGTTGATAAATATTACACAGGGTTGATCATGCACAGCCGGGGAGACAGGCCTCCATTGTCGGGCTCTGTCCATGGCCTTGTATTAATTAACTCCGGTTTTGCAGGGAATGGCCGTGCACCCGCGCACCCTGAGGGCTGCGATCTTATCGGGATTGGGTGAGCTCACAGGCTTGTGGCAGGGACGGTGGGAACAGGGAGCGCAGGCATCCAGCGGTTCTCTGCCGGAGCTGTGGCCCTCCTCCCAGGAGGGGGTTTCGCAGCCTCCACATCCACACCGCTGGTGATGCTTCTCACACACTGGCCAGGGGCGCCGTGGGCGGGCACCGACCTTCCCAAACTGGAGCGTCTCCAACGGTTCTCCTTTCCTTTTAAGAATTTTGAAGATCCTTAAAACATAATTTTAAAACTAACAGAAAATGTGCATTGGTTAAGCTTGTCTGCTCTTGGGCAGTGGTGGTGAGGGGGAGAGTGGTGGAGAAGGGGGAGGGTGGTGGTGAAGGGGAGGTTGGTGGTGAAGGGGAGGGTGGTGGTGAGGGGTGGGTGGTGGTGAAGGGGAGGGTGGTGGTGAAGGGGAGGGTGGTGGTGAGGGGTGGGTGGTGGTGAAGGGGAGGTTGGTGGTGAAGGGGAGGGTGGTGGTGAAGGGGGAGAGTGGTGGTGAAGGGGAGAGTGGTGGTGAAGGGGAGAGTGGTGGTGAAGGGGAGGGTGGTGGTGAAGGGGGAGGGTGGTGGTGAAGGGGAGAGTGGTGGTGAAGGGGGAGAGTGGTGGTGAAGGGGAGGGTGGTGGTGAAGGGGAGGTTGGTGGTGAAGGGGAGAGTGGTGGTGAAGGGGGAGAGTGGTGGTGAAGGGGAGGGTGGTGGTGAAGGGGTGGGTGGTGGTGAAGGGGAGGGTGGTGGTGAAGGGGAGGGTGGTGGTGAAGGGGGAGGGTGGTGGTGAAGGGGAGGGTGGTGGTGAAGGGGAGGGTGGTGGTGAAGGGGAGAGTGGTGGTGAAGGGGGAGGATGGTGGTGAAGGGGGAGGATGGTGGTGAAGGGGAGGATGGTGGTGAAGGGGGAGGGTGGTGGTGAAGGGGAGGGTGGTGGTGAAGGGGAGGATGGTGGTGAAGGGGGAGGGTGGTGGTGAAGGGGAGGATGGTGGTGAAGGGGAGGGTGGTGGTGAAGGGAGAGGATGGTGGTGAAGGGGTGGGTGGTGGTGAAGGGAGAGGATGGTGGTGAAGGGGGAGGATGGTGGTGAAGGGGAGGATGGTGGTGCAGGGGGAGGGTGGTGGTGAAGGGGAGGGTGGTGGTGAAGGGGAGGATGGTGGTGAAGGGGAGGATGGTGGTGAAGGGGAGGATGGTGGTGAAGGGGGAGGGTGGTGAAGGGGGAGAGTGGTGGTGATGGGGAGAGTGGTGGTGAAGGGGAGAGTGGTGGTGAAGGGGAGGGTGGTGGTGAAGGGGGAGGGTGGTGGTGAAGGGGAGAGTGGTGGTGAAGGGGGAGAGTGGTGGTGAAGGGGAGGGTGGTGGTGAAGGGGAGGGTGGTGGTGAAGGGGGAGGGTGGTGGTGAAGGGGGAGGGTGGTGGTGAAGGGGAGGATGGTGGTGAAGGGGAGGGTGGTGGTGAAGGGAGAGGATGGTGGTGAAGGGGGAGGATGGTGGTGAAGGGGAGGATGGTGGTGAAGGGGGAGGGTGGTGGTGAAGGGGTGGGTGGTGGTGAAGGGGAGGATGGTGGTGAAGGGGGAGGATGGTGGTGAAGGGGAGGATGGTGGTGAAGGGGGAGGGTGGTGGTGAAGGGGAGGGTGGTGGTGAAGGGGAGGATGGTGGTGAAGGGGGAGGGTGGTGGTGAAGGAGAGGATGGTGGTGAAGGGGGAAGGTGGTGGTGAAGGGGGAGGATGGTGGTGAAGGGGAGGGTGGTGGTGAAGGGGAGGATGGTGGTGAAGGGGAGGGTGGTGGTGAGGGATGGGTGGTGGTGAAGGGGAGGGTGGTGGTGAGGGGTGGGTGGTGGTGAAGGGGAGGGTGGTGGTGAAGGGGAGGGTGGTGGTGAAGGGGGAGGGTGGTGGTGAAGGGGAGGGTGGTGGTGAGGGGTGGGTGGTGGTGAAGGGGAGGGTGGTGGTGAAGGGGGAGGGTGTTTTCAGACATGGATCGCATTGTTTTGTCCGGTTTCCTTCTGAGCAAGGCCTTCAGTGCCCTCCACAGGAGCCCTGACCCCAAGTTCCCTGGGGTGTCTCTGCCCAGCCTTTCTGACTCCACCCACAGCTCGCGGTGGCTGTTCTGGGCACTCCCTCTGCTGCAAACACCCCAAACTTGCTTCGTGTTTGACAGCCCAGACTAGGCTCATCCTGTCCCCGGTCTGAGGTGCCATCTCCTCTCCTCCGTCTGATCCTCCAACCCAGGCACAAATGCCCCTCCTTCAGCTGCCGTCTGCAGCCTGCCTGCTGTCCCCTCCTGGGAGCTCCTGAAACACCACGCAGCACCTGAGGACGAGCTCCCCTGACTGACCAAGCGTGGCCGCGACCTGTCTCCCTGGGTCTCTTCCCCCTTTGCTAGGCAGTGGAGGCTGCCTGCTGGTGGGGTGGGGCAGGGCCCCCAAACTCCAAAATCTGAGCTCTTGCATGCAGCCACTTCACCCAATCGTGTACTGTCTTAACAACCATTTGCCTTTCAGGAATTTTTGTCTGTTGTGTTCACGTGCCCCATGTTCGTTTGCTAGGGCTGCCGTAAGGAAAGTCCACACAGAGGCATCAGCGGCAGACAAGTGTTGTCTCACAGTCCTGCAGGCTGGAAGTCCAAGGTGCCAGTGTGAGCTGGGCTGATTGCTCCTGAGGCCTCTCTGCTTGGCTTCAGATGGCATCTTCTCCCTGTGTCCTCACACGGCCGTCTCTGTGTGTGTCTGTGTCCTCTTATGAGGACGCTGGTCGGATTGATTTAAGGTCCAGCCAACCGCCTCATTTTAACCGGATTCCCTCTTCCCTCTTCAGGGCCCTCTCTCAAATACGGTCACGTTCTGAAGTTCTGGGGATAAGGAGTCCAAGATACACATTTTGGGGGAACACAGTACAGCACAAAACATCCTAAAAAGAACAAAATTGAAACTGTTATGTAAAGAAACATCCTTCAAAATAAGAAAAAGGACTGGAAGCTTTTCAGGATGGATGGAAAAGCTCTCTGAAGCCAGCAGAACTCAGGTGAATGAGCCTCCCAGACCCCTGCCCTGGCTCTCTCAGCTCAGCGGTGGGAAGGGGGTGACACCTGCTTCACAAAGGAGGAGGCAGGTCCAGAGACAGACATCCTTGCGTGGGTCTGAGCGTGGATAACAGGAATTCCGGCTCTAGCTGCAGAGCACAGGTCTCCCGTTCTTCTTTTCATATCATCGTATCTATTTGCTGGGACTATGGCAGCTGCAGTATTGATGATACATGGAGTCCTGTTCCTCCTGCTTCTCCACATGTGGTAGATTTCTCAGGCAGGAGAGGCCTGACTGCCTTGTCCTTGAGGCCTCCTTGGAACCTCTCTTGCTACCGGGTAACGCAGGTGCCGCACCAGGGTACGCATTCCTTCAAGCTCTCAGAGCCGCGGGTCCCTGTTAATCTCTCTTCACTACTAGACAATTAGCCCCGGGTTCGCGTTGCTGAATTATAATTTCCCCGATTGGAATCCAAGAACGTTTTTGCCCAGAACTGTCACTGAGCCCCGAGGATGAAGAGCAATCCCAGATACACTGTCCTCTCAGCTGGCAAGCACATCCGTCAGCTTGGTGCAAAAGTGAATGTGGTTTTTGCCATTAAAAGTAAGAGCAAAAACCGCAATTCCTTTTACACCAACCTAATATTTTTATTTACAGCTTCACATTCTCTTAGTTCAGAGGGTAATGTTACCTTTGTCCAAATTCAGCCTTCCTATTAATAACAAATGCAAGCCCATGGCCATATCCTGCCTCCATTCCGTGCTCAGACTGATGGCAGGATATAGCTTGAGCTGTGTGTGTGTTTTCTTCCCTGATGACACGTTCCATTTAGGGATGTTTAATGCTATTTAGTTATGTGTCCACAGTGGCTGAAAAACGTCCCAATACTTTTTAGCCTCTTTGCTGGGTTGCCACCGTGCACACAGGACCCACGGGAATTTTAGTCCAGTTTTTATAGAATAAAGTTTCTGGAGGTTAAAAAAGATGTTAAGATCATCTGCCCCCACAGCCTCATTGTGGAGATAAAAAGAACGGAGGCCCAGAGAGCTTAGAGAGCTTAAGTTCATCTGCTAGTTAGCAGCAGAATCTGCGCTAGAACCCAGGGGCGCTTTCTCAATGTGACACTTCCTCTTTGCTGAAACTGCCTCCGCTAAAACACGGATTCGTGGGGTTCGCTGTTCTCCTACTTTGAGAGCTGTTCTGAGGACCTGGACCGCCTTCCCAGGCTGAGTGATGCAGAGGCAGTGCCTTGAAAGTGAATCGTTTGCATGACCTGATTTCCATCAGTCTGGTCATTGCAGTGGCAAATCACAGCGCCTTCATTTCCATTAGTTAACTCCGAGTAACTCTCTGGCAATTACCCGGCTGCCTGTGCTGGCACTGGTGTTGGCGTCTCACATGTGCACGGGGCTGGAACTGACTGACTGTATCACGGAATTAAGCAAGAAAAATAGAGCCATATTCGAAGAATCAAATGAAACATTTAAGAAAAGAGCAGCCCCCCCATGTGGTCCCCCAAAGTCATCCTTTGTACAATTCAGTAGGAAACAGTCTTGGCACAATCTGAACACACGCGCAAGCCCACTGCTCTCACCCTGAGCAGAGGCGCATCGATCTCGCGCTGCTTCTATTGATTTAATGTCGCCTCTGTGATGTCACCATGTTTTCCTTCCTATCTGTTTGCAGTCTTTTCTTCTATTGTCTGCCGTGAGGCAGCCAAGGCCTTTCAGCCTCTGAGCTGGTCAAAATAACTTTGTCTTCCATTTGCATTGTTTTTAAGAAATGATTAGACTGACTTGGGTAGGGCCTTGGTGAATAGCATGCTGGGGAGTACAGAATGTCATGTGAAGGCTCCAGGCACTAACACTGGGGTTCCAGCTACAGTGCTGGTGGGAGTTGGGCCTCAATGGAGCCTCTTCCTGCTCAGCCACGAGCGGGTCATTGGCTTCATGCATGGGTGATGCTCCCCCCACCCCACCTTTTTTTTTTTTTTTTTTTTTTTTTGAGACAGGGTCTTACTCTGTTGCCCTGGCTGGAGTACAGTGGCGTACTCACTGCAGCCTTGAGCTCCTGGGCTCAAGTGATCCTCCTGCCTCAGCCTCTCTAGTAGCTGGGACCACAGGCACACGCTGCTATGCCTGGCTGTGGGTGACGCCTTTCATTCCACTTCTCTCTCTTCTTAATCATGGATGTTAAACATGGCTATTGTTGCTCATACCAGAGATGGTGAAAGGTAAAAAGGATGACACAAACACATATCCAAAAGCAAAGGCTACTTGGGATTTGGTAGGGACAAATCCACGGGGCTTATATTCCAAAAAGACACATGGAGATGCGCTTTATTTGAAAACAGGCTTTGTTTTTAGGGTGACTTTTGTGCACGGCGTCTGCATGTCAGCAGTGAATGGTGTCAAGCAGGCAGCGATGGTGGCAGACCAGGAAGACAGATGCTGCTGGCTCACGGGGCCTGTTTTCTTATGGCAAGAGCTGTCCCTGAGTTTTGGCTCTCAACCGGGGAGGCTGTGCTTTCTGCCAGCGTGTGGGCAGAGAAAACGGCTCTGATGCATGCAGGTACGTGTTTGTTTACGGCGATGATGATGAGATTTCTACTGGAGACTTCATGGTATGAGAGCATTGCTAAGATTTAAAAATAGTGCCTCTTTGAACATCTTTTTCAGAAGAGGTTGATGTAGAAATAGAGATAGAGATGAGGATAAAGAGAGGAAGAGAGAGGAAGAGGAAAAGAAAGAGAAAGGAGGAGGGGAGAGAGAGGGAGAATGTAGGAATGCACCCCCTCCCTGACGCTGGTCAGTGTCCTAGGACTGGCCTGGAGGCCCAGACCCTGCGAGGTCCTGGCTGCATCCTCCTTCTGAGCTGGGACCATAGGACTCTGGTGACTAGTCGCTCTGGCTGTGCATGGCCCTGCCTCTGTTCATGTTCCCTCTGCCTTCCCTCCACCTCTGTGCACTGAGAGCAGGACCTGCTCATATTCTATGTCAGCCTTGACCAGAAGTTTTAGCCCCAACCCTAAACTTTTTGGAAATTAAGAATGATTCAGCAAAATCAGTGGCATTAAAGAGAGACCCAAAATGGCACTCACTGTTTAGTCAGTATCAATGGAATCCTGCTCTCAGCTCTTCAGGAGTGGTCAAAACGGTATTCATGAAAATATACGGTGTTAACACTGATTATTCGCTCATTACTATTATTCATTCATACTATTAATTTATTGCCATATAGGAAAAAATGTAGATAAATATGTTAGGTATTTGAGAAGTGGAAAAAAAAGACAAAAAATAAGCAGAAACACTAAACAAGAAAAGCAAAGAGAATAAAATGATATATGCAAAAATTAAGTTAGAAAACAGAAGAATATGCAAATGGGTCATAAATCTATAAATTGGTTATTTGGGGAAAAAATACATACAAAAGTCAGTTAATAAAGAAAATACACAAATGCATAGGATTAGAAATGGGAAAGGAGATAAGAACATGATATGAAGTTTTAGAGATAAACATAAGAGTAAACACGATTATAATATTCTGCTTGTAAATTCTTAGGTTTTGATAAATTTGATTATTCTCTGGGAAAATAAAGATGGACAAAACTGAATTAATAAGACGTTTAAAACACGGACACATTGGTGACATTGGAATAGATTTTAAATGTTGTCAAAGAGCTAGCTCAAAAACAAGAATAACACAGACAATTTTAGTGGCAAGTTTGTTTTTGTGCTATATAAATATCCAACCATAAAATGAAA